CTAAATTTAAAACATTTACCACTGATAAGGAAAATCTCTTTAAAGGAATAAAATTTTGAGTAAGTACTATAAGAATCATCACTAAATGAGTCACACAGTTCCATGCTGCGGTTAGTCTACTATCCCCATTTGTTCATTTTTTAAAAACATTAACCATATACGATAACAAAGACACATAAATAAAAAAAAAATCTGTTGGAATTTATTAAGTAAGAACTACACTTACTGTCTAAGCAGAAATCACATATCTCAGACAATCATATACGATTGTAAAAGAAAAATTTTAAGAATGAAAATATTTGTTTAGGTGTATGATTTTTCTCAAATTGTGGCATAACTTCAATCATAGATGTGTTCGCAACAAGATGTTACAGCAGACTGAGCGGCAGTCGCTGCTGCGTGCTCAGACAGATTTACGCGGGTCTCGCGTGTTTTGATTTTAATGTAGCCTCGATTATTCTACTTACCCCTATAGTCAAATGACCCCGGTCTCCCCTACGTTACTGACGATCACTCAGGATACACGATATTAACGCAAGGATTCAAACAATTAACTATACTATACAAAAAGAGTGTGCCCGTTCAAGTAGCAATCTGGGGAAACAAAATGTGTAGGGTGCTATCAGTTATAGGCATGTTTGCGATGGATTGAACTTAGATTTCGCTTTTCATTCTAAATCAATCACGCGAATACAAGTATTTCTCGATACTTTTTCGGAAGAAATTCTCTTTGTTTTTATTCTGAACGGATCGGATGTATACATATAATTGTGAAGAATTTACAATTCATCGTCTAATATAATTTAAAAAATTTCTTCTTTCTAGGATATTCTTCCGCCCGGTACGATCCTTTTGTCCGGTGGAATCTTCGCGAGGCGCGATCAGGCACGAGGGTGCGAGAACACGATATGTTTTGCCAGCGCGTTCACCATCGTGTCGAATCAGCAGCGAGGGCTGGAATCGACAATACAACAGCATACAGGACGATATATAGGAGCGCGCGTGTATTACGGTGAGGAGAAACGGAGTCCATTATATTCGAATTACGAGCGCGCTTCGGGGTGACATTGTACGGATTGCACTTCGCGTCTATCTCTCCCCTTTCAACGTAAGGGAAACAAGGGGTCGCGTACACCTCTCGCTTCGCCCTCGGTACGCCCGTAACAAATCGGCCAATGAATCGAGCGGTTATATTTAAAATAAATCGTCCGTAGCCCACTATTCGTCATCGATCGCCCGCAACGGTTTACGTCAACGAGAATGATCGAGGGACGTTTCGTCGTCTGACGTTTGTTAACATTTATCGAGACATCTCGGGACTTTCAGTACAAAGTCACAAATATATTTCTTAACCTAACGCTTCAAAATGCGTTGAAATCCTGAGCGAAATCATAATTTTTCGATTAGTTATTGTTTTTCAACGGCAATGTTGCTATATTTTCATTCGATTGGAAATTTCTTTCGAGATCAGTGTACGCGATAAGAATTAAATAATAAAGAAATCTTTAATTACACGCAGTCCTATCCGCGCGATCGGAACCGGACGTTTCGCTTATCGACAATATACTGGAAGCTTTCCCATTATTTCATAAACTGTTATGTGAAAAGAATACGGTTGCCACCTTTTCGGTTTTCACCCCCCCGAGGCCCCGGCTTTTCGAACAAATCTCCGGCTCTGCGACCGACGGAAAAAACCTCCACCTAAAAATTTGATAAGCTTTTTTAGAGAATACACTACAGGATTGTAACAATTTTGTTAGTGGCAATCGATTTCTAACAAGTTAATGGATCTCCGGCAGAAAAGCCGTCGATTTCCAATGGAGGAATGGATTTCCAATGGACGTTAGTCGAAAAGTGGCAACCATATAAATAATAGAGAACTGTTACAGAAAAATAGTAGCGCGCGCGTTCCGAGATTACATACCCTTCCAGCAATCGTCAGGCATCATGAACTTCCAAAGCCACTGTCTCGTTTTTTTCTACATTCGTATTTGTGCCAAATCTGCAGTTTACACAATTCCAATTGTATTACATAAGATTGTTTTTTCATTGTTCTTTTCCACAATTTTCTACAACTAGATACGAATCAACAGTATTTCGAGATATTCTTTAAAAGAGAGAATAAAATGTAGAAAATCAATTTTAAACCGATTTGCTTCGATGCATCTCGGATAAGAGTAGAAAAAT